CAGTATTTTATATACATAAGCTTGAGGCATTTTGTCTTAATACACAAAGAATCTTACTATTGTGATGGTATTTTTGTCATCAAATATAATGACAATGATTGATGGAACTAATTGAAAGAATTGAATCTAATTTTCTGACATGCTTCAATTTACTATTCTTGTGTCATATAAATAGTGTATGTTTTTTCTTCGCAGTCGACCGTGCGCATATAGCCTATTGTCTGACATTTCAGTCTTGATATGACGCACATAATGGCATATTTTTCATTATTATCTTATTGTTCACATTATAATAAAATAAGAAATATAGTTGATCACTTGTCATATTAAAACAAAAAATCTTTTTTTCATATATATGAACTTATATTATAAATATTATTGCCTATATTACAAATGTAAATAATCTCTTGAATTCTAGTGACATCTATTAATAACTGTTTGAATTTATTTACAAATTTTTCTTAGAAAATATCAAATATTAAATATAAAAGTTTATAAATATTTTTCAATAAAAACAAATGAAATAAACTATTACGAATAAAACATCTTATAAGAGTTAAATTATATTCCTTAATGGTATCTGTACAGTTCCCGTGTTATCTCAATTGTTATTGTTTTCTTCTCCTTCAAACACAATCAATCAAAAAAATTTTTATATTTTAGATAAAAATAATGGCTGCTTTACGTAAAAAACTCGTTATTGTTGGTGATGGTGCTTGTGGTTAGTTTATATACATGGATTTTATTTTCTTTTCTTTGAAATCCGTATTTCATTGTTTTTAGGTAAAACTTGTTTATTAATTGTATTCAGTAAAGATCAATTTCCTGAAGTTTATGTTCCAACTGTCTTTGAAAATTATGTATCTGATATTGAAGTTGATGGAAAACAAGTTGAATTAGCATTATGGGATACAGCTGGACAAGAAGATTATGATCGTTTACGTCCATTATCATATCCAGATACAGATGTTATTCTTATGTGTTTTGCTATTGATAGTCCGGATAGTCTTGAGAATATTCCTGAGGTAAATAATACTTATATATACATATATATATATATATTAAATTTTTAATATAAAAAAATTTATTAGAAATGGACACCAGAAGTAAAACATTTTTGTCCGAATGTTCCGATTGTACTTGTTGGAAATAAAAAAGATTTACGTAATGATGAAGCAACAAAAAAAGAATTAATGAAAATGAAACAAGAACCTGTACGTAGTGAAGAAGGACGTAATATGGCTGAAAAAATTGGTGCAGTTGGTTATCTTGAATGTTCAGCTAAAACAAAAGAAGGTGTACGTGAAGTATTTGAACATGCAGCACGAGCTGCATTAGCACGAAAGAAGAAACGCAAAGGTGGTTGTATTATGATTTAAAATAAATTTCTATTATTATGTTATGTGTGAAATAACTAGTCGAAAAATATAAACTAACATCTTGTTAAACTAGTCGTGCGCAAGTGTTTCTAAGAACAAAAACAATAAAAATAAAAACATTACGTTTTTTTTGGGTTTTTTCTTTTTCTACTCATTATATTACCAATACTTATCCTTTTTTTCCTATTCGATTATTGTATATTTCATTCTTATTGCTACTATTTCAATATTTTGTTCTGCGGTTTGCTTATTTGGTCAAGAGTTTGAATGAGTGTGCGTTTTTTGTATATTAAGTTGCTCCCTTTCGTTTTTTTTTTAACAATAAAACAAACATACATATCTGAATGGAGAAAAGTATTGAAGTAAAAAAAAAATATGCTGTTTAATAAAAACGTTCATCATCAATGATAATGACATAAGAGTAACTTTCATAGAATCTTTTTTGGAAGAGACAATTGACGGTGTGTGGAAGAAGGACATACAAAGAAAAAAGGCTATACTTGGCTTGTGAAAATTGCTCAATCTGTGCCTCTCTAGCTATCTCAATGTTTTGAGAAAATGGACTCTCTCTCTCTGGGAATAGTTCTACGTCCTATAATAATTTTTAAGTCATATTTCATACGTTTAGAATTTTGTTTTTGTAAAAAGAAAAAAAAAGGTAAGTTTTTAATACAATGAATCACGATAAGTTTGCTATTTTAAAGATTATTGTAAACAAAATACGAAGTATGTCAAAAATTCGTCATAAAAAAAAGAGTGAATATCTGACAAACAATTCAAGCGATACATTTTTTAAATTAACATGCCAATATGTTGCTTAACTCTTTATCCCCCATTGCCAACTGAATTGTCATTTTTAGAAACATTGCAGACAGTGCAGAATGCATGGTATCGCAAAATTCTACGCAATGTGTGTAGAGAATTCCTCAAGCTACTGATCGATAAAAAAAAATATTTTGTATCCTCACTCTGTCTCTGAGATATACGACTTACACAAGAGACGATTATGAAATTATTAAACAAAGGATCTCTTCTGTTCAAATTGTTTTTTTTTACCTACGAGAAATACTTATCTTGATGAAGCGCTGCGTGATAAATATCGACAAAAGTTGCAGCTATTGAATAAAATGCCTTTAAAAATTTTCACCTGAATTAGTTGCACAACAGATTGTACGATATAAAATGGCAACGGAAGTTGCCGTTGGGAGTAATGACATAAAAAAAAAAGATTTAAAAATTCTTGTCTAAACATAAAACTTGTTAATATTTGCGTAGAGATAAGTAAACAGATTGTTGTTATCCATAAATACGAGCATCATTTGTTGTTATATAAATGTTTGATGTAGGTGTAGGTGGGTGTGAATGTTGGTCTCAAATAGGAAGGGAGCCAAACTACACGCACACTCACCCACACCCCAATTCTTTTAAATCGTATCATATTCGAAGTTGAAGAAGAACGAATTAGTAATTATATCCTTTACTTGATGATTTAATTACTTCGAGAAAAAAGGATTCTATGTATATAGGAAGTTGTTTCAGAAGTTCATGTGTGGTAGAGAAAAAAACGGAAAATCTTTGTATGTGCTGGTTTTTTCTTTATTTGTATTGTTGAATTAAAAAAATATATTGTATTTTTGCGAAATCAACAAGCTATTTGCAAAAGATTAAAAAAAGTTTTCATGTTGCTGCTCATCAATGGCAACTGGAGTTGCCAAATTACCGTTCACACAGAAAAACGCACCTGACCGATCTGTTTATATTATTGGCCTATTGAAGAGGGCAATACTCTGTTTCAATTGTTGTTTTATTAGTGAATCTTTTAGAGTCATTATGGGGCAGTAAAAGGTTAAAGTTTTATCACATATCATTTGGTGTAGAACAAATGGATACAGCTATAGTTGCAGATCTCCTCATTCTTCATCCACACCTGTATCTAGGCCGTTATTCTCTGAGAAAGTTTTCATGCGAATGTATTTATTTCCACCGAAATCCTTCGAAATCACTATGAGAATTTATAAGATTATATTACCTTCTTCTACGTTGAAAAGTCTATCGTATATTAATATTATACTGTTAATACAAAGCAGTAAGATCTAGTTGTGTGTTCAATTGTAAAACAGGTATTTTCAAGGGGGAAACAAGTGACTTAAATCATCTGAAGATCAAAATTAAATCATTTTAAATCATGTTAAATCACGTGAAATATGATTGTAGATGATTTAAAATCATTTTAGATCACAAAATCGCAGATTCATGTTTTCCCCCTTGGGTGTTCTACTAAGGACTATCTATTACCATCATCAAAGATTAAAATAAATCGCTGTTGGTCAAAACGTTCAAACGAACAACTGAAATATGTACCTACAAAAGTGAAAAAAGTTTATGGATAGTACCATGTTGTAAATAAAGGTTTATCGTCTGTTACACATTGAGATGCAGTTTTGATGGTCTTTATTTAGTCAATGTGCTTGAAAACCATCTATTTTATTCTATTAGCTGTACGTAATGCAAAGAGCAATACTGCTTTACAAAAGCTTTATCAACAAGGGCTCCTCTAATGAGAAAAATGACTGAAGATGTATCAGTAATGTCGTTGAACAATTCGTTAACACTAATACACCACTAATATTCAAATACTCATCTAATATCTTGGATGTTAACCCCATAGGAATCTTCCATCAGGCATAAAATGTAACATTGAGAAGAGAAATCCAAAAAAATTAGGTGAATTCTATCATTTTTCATGTGAAGAAGTCAAAAATGTTGAAATTTGAGTTGTAAATAATATTGCTGTGTCCAAACAAAAAAGATCTTTGTTTTCTATTTTTTCTAAAAGTAAACAAGGGGATATCAAATTATGCTGTTTTATAGTACTCTTCATGGGCTATCAACCACAATATAAAACAACTCGAATAGGACGTGTATATAAAATAACACGTGTGGAAAAAGATGCGCAAGTTTTTTTTGTCCACGGTTATATATCAATAAAAATTTAAAAACTAATATCAATTTTCATAACCACAATGTACAAGACCTCATTTACCTATCAACTAAGAGAAAAAAAACGTGCTTTTTTCTGATATTGTATGGTTCTGAATGTGTGACTTCAGGATAGGTGTGAATGTAGTTGAAAACTTAAGAGAGATTCAAAGTCGTACAACCATAATCATACCAACTGAAAACTGCACTACACACTAGCAATTACACCCACACTCACACCAACATCCTCTCAAATCCCTATACACCTATATTTTTGACACGCTGTTCATCCAGACACCCATCTTCTACCTATACTGAGCTGACTTTATGAGATCATTGGTTTGAACCTTGAATTCGTCCTAGCTTATGAAATGCGAAAACTACTTTTTCGGAAAGTAGATAAACACTATAGGAAAGTAACATAATGATTTCTGGTCGAAATACGACCACTGATCTCTTCAGTCAGTGTCAAAGCAGAGTTCTGAGCTTAGATTTATTTCAAAAACAATTCTCTTTCGAGTATTTTCTCATCACCAACTATTTTCAAAACTCAATACTGTTCTTTCATAATTCTTGGAAACGAGTTCATGCGGACAAATTTATTTCCATCAGAATCCTTCAAAATTACCATGAAAATGTTCTTTAAAGATATGATACCATGACAAGATCAACGGCTTTCGATTCCGTAGGTTCCACCTTTCGAATTCGACGTCGACATACATCGGTTATCAATACCATCGGTTTCCCGAGTTGTGGTAAATTCTTTGTTTCTACATGTACACGTCCAGGTGCTACACCATACTGACCTGCCAGTGGTAGGAACCAAAACCAATGATCATCACGTAGACTCGCGAAAATATAATAGCAAGCGCCCACGAAATACACGATGTCACCGTAGGTAAACAAATAGTAGGTACCATACAACTCTGGTTTAACATTGATCTGAATGTTGTAGACCAGGTAGACAATCGAGCTAATAGTAGTACAGGAATATGCGATAACATCAGGATCATCGAGAGTAAAGCCACGACCCAGTGTCCGAATGTAGGTCATGTACCACGACATGATCCTAAAAAGAGAACGTCCCATATATAGTTTGTACTCGATGTTGATCACTATTTTGTTCATTCTCTCTATGGATTCTGTTTCTTTTTATGAAATTAGAATACGAAGAATAGAAATCTCTAATAGAGGATGTGTCTGTTGCTTTCATTTTACTAGCACACAATTCTCAATCAACTATAATAGTGAGATCTACGACTGTATTGAAGAAATAGTCAATGAAAACCATCAACTTTTTGGAAATATAGAAATAAGCTTTCAAACGAATACCTTATGACGAATTGACACCCACGATATTCTCCTTTTTTCAGTGAAGATATGTTACTGAAATTCTAATTGCTATTCCTAATTATCAATAACTCATCTTGCAGGGAGTATGCGGTTACCGAAGTACTATCTTGACATTTTGCAAATCAGAATTGTTGTTCGAAAAAAATGCAATGACATTATTTTGAAGGGAAGAACTGAGGATCGCTCTACTATCGTAAATTGGATGTTTTTAGTCAGATCTTTATACGAAGTGACAACACTGATTACTATTCATCTGATTATATACGCACCAGCCAAACGAAGCAAACAGTTCAACAATCGCTGCTGCCAACTCGATTTTATGCACTGATAATGTATAATAACCACCTAGTGTGTCTTCTCTCGAATACCAGATCGCTGACCAAAGATATAGTCCAGCTTCAATATGATTTAGATACTCAGGTATCATAATAACGTCCAGCCATGATCGACCAGCCCAAGCCCACCAGTAGAGAAAGGCTGAGATAAGATGGACAACAGCAAAACCTGAAAAGATAGAATCCGTTGTACAAAATGTCCGACATAGAAGTACGAACAAGTTTTGTTTGAACTTTTGTTCTGTTCAAAAGATCAGTGATAAGCTATTGAATTGCTTTTCACTCAAGCTTGAGACTGTTCTCGAAACTTATTGGACCAATCTCTGCTTTTATAATTTATTCTTGTATGAAATTCATCACGATGGCAGTATTTGCTTTTGTTTTCAAACAGTACAATAAACCGGTGATGGAAGAGCTCTTTAACTAACCTAGGTACAGTCGATTTATCAATGGGCTGCTGATCACTGGTTGATCAAGTGTCGACATCACAGACGTTGCACTCGTATCGCTCTCATTCGGAGATGAACTCTCTGCCGATCCATTCACTTGAGGATTGAAATCAATGATCAGAATACCAATTGCATAGCCGAAATAGACTAAATTAGCCAACATATAACGATTATGGAGTGTCTTTCGCAGACAGACGGGAACTCGAGTACGAATCTGTTTCCATTGTAGTGCCTCCCATATTGAGTTGAATACTTCTTTCTCGTAGAAAGGCGCTGTGAGGTCGTCTATTTCAATGTCATTGGACTCAGTTGTGTTTACATTTATATCGTCGTCAGCCTGCATCCTCAAACAAACTAAATTATACTGACGCCGACGACGAACAGCGTATACCTCACCTGTACAATGTGGAGAGAAGACATTTTTTCATATTTCGATACTTTTTCTGTTCTGTGTTACTGACTTTCAACGGACGCACATGGAAGGTTGTTTATACACAGAACAGAATAGATCTTCTGTATGTTCTTTCAAAGCACGCTCCAATGGAATGCTTCAATATAAACAAGTGAACATGATAGCAAAAGCTAGTTTGTTCGTAACTAAACTATACACCTGGTCACTATTTGATGATCTCTTTCTTCTAAAATCTTTTGAAAAATCTTAATCCATATTATTCCGGATTTCGAAAAAGTCAATAGATTTTTGAAAGACTTTCTAAGAGTTATTCTTTGAACTGGTTCCAAACCAATTTCATCTGTCAATTATAAGCAACAAGAAAACAAATAGTAATAATCATAAACACTTCTTGACGTAAATATCAAGAGAAGAAACATAGCAGTAGCATTTTTTAAAATTTCTTTTCTTCATTGCACTATGTTTTACTCTTTCTTTGTCTTTCTGCATTTTTTTAAATTTCAAATATTTCTTTCGTCACAGTCTCATCATAACAGTAGCATAACGTTTTTCGATACTGCTTAAAAAAGCAAAATTGAAAAGCAGAAGGAAAAAATGTGAGATTAATGGTTCAAGAAACAAAGTTAAAATAATCTTATTTTCATAAAAATACATAGTTTAACAATAGTTCATCTTCAATATCTGGTTGTTTGGAGCTATCAAAACGAATCCTTGATGACTTTATGTATGATTGAATCTGACCATATAAATAGACGATTGAAAACATCAGTTAAATTTAGTGTGTGTCAACATTTTCTTGATAAAAACTCACGGCAAGTTTTCACATTTTTGTTACAAATTTCGAGAGCTGCTTCATTTAAGCGAAATCTGATCGCAAATATACGCGTTTGTTTGAGCTTTCACGTTTGACTGGGTAGTAGTAGTGGGAAGACTTTTCATCATATGATGAATGTAATTTTTATTTCGAAACTCGTTTCGCAAAAATAGACCTGAATTATGTAAAAGAAAAAAGTGATTGAAAGATCTGATTGTAGACTATTGATAATTTGAGCATTCATCGAAAAGTCAATCAGTATAGTTAGCCTTGTTCAGGCGTGAGAGGTTTGAAAGAATTGTAAATAATACTTCCAATATGTGATGTGACAGATGCATAGGTATTGTTTCGATTTTTAAGGAGTTCTTTGACGAATGTCAAAGGGTTAGAATTGAATCGAGCTCGATAAATTTGCAACTGGCAACGGTGTTCTGGATCTTGAACAAATCCATCAGCCGCAATCCAACCATTTTCAAAGGCGTTTTCTTCGATCGTCGTTCGAGGTTTGAGACATAAAGCTAAACATTGACAATAGGCTGTTTGCTCCTCGACAGTTTCGAAATAAATTGTACCATTGAAGACGAATAATTGAACCAGCCAATCTACGGGCAAAATGAAAGTAATAGTATCGTGGGGAATTGTCAGAGTGGGTGTATGGACGAAGATCGATTGATTTCGGTTGAGACGCGGCAGTAATAAGCGTAATGTAGTGATCGATGGTTCGTTCAATTTTTCCTGGTGGCAAAGATGGTGTAATTGTCCCATCAACCAATTGGCTTCAAAAGCGTTGACAAAAATAATATGCTCATTTCGATAGACTATTATCCAACGTGGAGGGCGTAAGAATAGATCTAATGACTCTCCTTTAGTTTCAATCACTCGTTGAAATTCTGTCGAAATCCAAAAATTTGGTCGCCAATTATTAGGTTGACAGATTTCAAAGAATGTTGAATTGATGAAAGCATATGCTAAGGGACAAAATACCAAAGGCAATTCGGCCAAGTCCAACGTGATATCATCAGGATTGCACAACCTTTTGATTTCTTCATGGAGGATGGGTTCACATGGGTGAACAGATCGAGGACGTTTTTGTTCATGTTCCTGTTCTCGTTCTTGTTCTTGTTCTATTTCTTGTTCTAATTCTCGTTGTTGCTCTTCATCTAAAAATTGCGATAGACGCTGCTTCGATCCACTATACGCATAGATTCGTTGTAATACAGCACGATGAAGTTCTTCTGAGGCAGGAATATTTGAATGTTGATAGCGAATTGTATATATCTCTGATATGGTTTGCAATACTTTGGGCACACCATACATCTGTTTCAATTCAATTATTTCCGGTTCTAAACATTTCTCCGCTAACTCTTCCATCATTTGATCTGTATAGATTTGCTGATGATTAGTCCACTGAATATTCTGAAAGGCATAGACTTTGCGTTGATAACTAAGACTTTGTATGGCCCAGTGATGCAATCCATCCCAAGTGGCTTGTTGTGTATTCTCATATACCCAACGCAAAATATCTTTGATTTGACAGGAATCATTGTATTTGCACTGTAGTAAACGTGTCTTTAGCAAGACAATTTGCCGATGTACTTCATCTGAACTCCAAAATGTCAACGAATGGCCTTCTCCTAGTTTACGCATTCTCATACATGCTTGCACAAAACGATCCTTGGTTAAGCCATTTCCTAAGGTGACTGCAGCTTTGAATCCACTAGGAAATTTGAAATCGGTTCCTCTCGTATGCACTTCATCTAAATAAATGACACAACGATCCAGTCGTTCGTTTGCAGGTGATGTTAGAAATGAATGATGATGAAATTGTCGATCACAAACAACGATATAGTCGGATTCGAAATAAATCGCATAATCAATCTTGGCTTTATCCGATAGTTTCAACCAATGGACTGCTATGTCACGATTTGTACTGTCGGTAAATAGAGCACCCACATCGAGAATGACGTTAATAGCCTCTTGATAAGTTGCTATTACATATAAAATCGTCTCGAAGGTCGCATTGACGGATAAATTTTGATAGTTTTCATTTTCCGAGTGTAATAAATTGTTAACAACAATGGCATCAGTTTGTTGCAACTGATGCAAGTCACATTGATGAATATCCAAGGGCAATAGCAACTGTGTATCATTCGTACCACTGAATCCGGTAACGATATTTGTTCGTGTTGCTGAAGACAAATCCCAACCCGACGAAACCAATTTATGAGGAAACTGTTTCGCTTCTCGAGGAAAGACAAAGTGGTTCAAGAAATAATTGATCACTAACATATTGTAGCGTAGAGTAAGCAAGATTGGACGGAGTTCTTGCTGACAATTTTTTCGGTTGATTTCTTTCCATTGTTTGATACTTTGAGGAACATCATTTTCATCTTCCTGTGAAATCCATTCATCATAGATCGATTCCGGATCTCGTTCTTCTTCACTTAAACGATTGAAGCATTGAATCATTTGCGAATCATTCAAACCACTATAGTAGTACGAAAGTTGTGTCAGAACAAGTGCAATATCCGGATGACCGAATTCGGTCCTTTCTGCAGGAACGTCCTTAGCTCGAAACGGTACGGCCATCAATCGATTAAAACTGGTATGGGAATTGACACCATAATGAACTCGATAACGTTTCTTCAAAGCAACTAATAAGACTTCTGTTGATAGTAAACCACGAATAATAAGAAACGATTGAATATCATTCGATGAGAATCGATGGACAAGAGCATCGACCGAGGTATTCATATCGAAAATGAATGATAAAATAGTCTGCTTATCCGTTTTTCGATATGATTTCTGATTGAGCCAATCATGAACAATTTTTGCAGATAATTTAGCATATGGTTGATGTGATAATAACCGAAATTCCGGAAAAGCACTTTTGCATTTCGGTGATTTATAGCAACTATCATCAGGATCACTTTGTGCAATGTCTGTAGCAAATTTTCTAACAGAGTTCAATATCAATTGAATGAGTTTCCAGCGTTCCACGCCTCCGTCCACTTGTTGTTGAGCACCAACTGTATAAATTAATTGATATTTACAATGTAAAATTTCGTCCGATTCATCTAAAACATCTCGAGCAAATGTTTTCAACCATCTTTGTACTATTAACATTGAACGAGCCGTGTCAAATTCGTGTCGTCGACATTTATCGATCATCAACAAATCAAACGAAAGAATGGCTTCAGGTGAAACTAATATGATATCACAACGACGTAATCCTTGTTGAAGTCGATCAAAGATTTGATTCACTTGGATATGGTTGAAATCCATATTACGACGACAAGCAAATGAAAAAATACGCCGATTCAATAAACCTCCCAATTTAAATCTTAATGATTGATAATTCATATGAAATAATGATTTCAAAACTACGACACGAACCAAACTTGATAAAGGTGAACATAAACTAAGTGCTAACATGGGTATAATGACGGACGTTTTTCCTTCACCCATATTCATTTGCATGACGATATTTCTTACTTGAGTATCATTGGGTGAAAGTTGCATCATGTGACGAGCAACATCCACTTGAATTTCACGAATAGTTATGTTCATTTCTAGTTCGAAGATTAACCATGGTAGATGTTTCGATGGTGTCCAATTGGTATGTGGGGTATTCGATAGTTCTTTTTCGAATTCTTCTTGTTTATCGTGATATGCAAAATGTAAAGCTCTCTCAATTTGCTGTTCTACAATCCAATTGATCATAAGTCCCCCAAGAAGTGTACATTGGTCTTTGGTAAGGAGAGACTTGACAGATTGTTGATGTTCTTCGTTGAACCAAATCTGTTGAAAAAGTGATATAAGAATAGCTGGAGTCGTTCTTGGTACCAAACCTATTTGGAATAACTGTTTATTAGCAATAGTGATAGAGTTTATTAATTCTTTCCAGAATTGAGTCGATTCTTGTTGAAAAGATTGAAGAACTTGAATGATTTCCTCCTTGGAAGGATATTCTCTTTTGTAGGTCGCAGTGGATTGCAGCCGTTTCCAACTTTCTGCTAAGTGATCCTTAAAGTAATTGCCAATTTTACTAAGATGACTATGTTGATCATCGATGGAAGAGAAAATGTCGACTGGGAACTCTTTGTGTAGATTAACACTTTGAAGAATGAATGTTGACTTGATAAAAGAGTCAGAATTCGGATAAAAATATTTTCGCTGAGCATTGAGAAGTAGCTGTGGATCAGTTTGTTTCTCCGACGATTTAACTTCTATTTGGTGATGATTTTCGATTGCTTTCTGTAGAAACTCTTGAGGATAAACAGGTACTCGAGTGTTCCATGGAATGAGACCAAAAGAACAGATCAGATTTTGAACGGTAATTAGAAATGCCTGGAGTTTTCGGTTCAATTGCCAAGATTTCAATAAAAATTTTATTTGATGTTTCTCTTCAGAAGTTGCCAGACGACAATGATTTTTGTAGGTATAACCCGTCTCCAAACAATCTTTCACTTCTCCTATAATTGTCCTACGTTCACTTGCTGAATGATTCCAGTTGAAATCGATGGCACTCATAATCACTGAGACTTGTTGGATATTATGATATTGAGTAAAGGGAGGAAATGTGACTGATTTCAATGATAGAGTGGGCACTTGCAAGACGGTGTTTAACATTTGCAAATAAATTGATCGAAACGCACGTTTGCCAGATATATAATGAAGAAAGTCTAACAGTAATTGAAATCGTTCGAGATCTTCTTTATCATGACTAGTTGCACCTATCTTGATCGAGTCAGCTAGTTTTAACAAACCAATCCAAACAATGTTGAGTCTATATTCGTCTGCGAGCCATTTAGACAATGGGAAACAACAAAGTTCAGTAACTTCTTTAAGACGCACATCTCCACTATGATACATGTCATTAATAAGATGAACCTGTTCGTGACTTGCGACCGACGAATCATATTCGGAAGTTGGCTGATATGGTGCTTCTGTTCTTGCATCTAGTAGTTCTGCTTCGATCTCAGCGGATAATCGAGCAATTGGATTGTATAAATCACGATAGTCCCAATATAGTTTTGCCAACAATCTTTCATCATATTCATGCTCATCAACTAATTTTAACATCTCGTTGGTATGTGACGATAGATGCATGAAATTGAATTTCTCACTGGTATCGATCAATTTTTTTACTATCAGATAATAGCCACAATGTTGCAATGAATACGGGATAGTATGATAATTCCAATTAATTTTTTGCATGCAAGTACGATATTGTCGAGAATAATTTGCACGGGGTGAAATGACAGCAATTTGACGAAGAATGTCTAAAGAAAGTGCATCAAACGGTTGATCAGTCCAGCAACCGGCGGAATTGAGCAGTTGAAAAGCACGTTCCATTCCAGTCATGCCTGTGTATTGGTCCGGTAGAGGATGTGATGTCAGAGCATGAAGTAATGCCAGATACAGCCATCCGGTGGGACTATCCATTGACTGAATGATACGTAATCGATCGTTCAAAATAAAAACGAAATATTGATGAGCATACGACATTGACGACTTTCGTTGAATAGTGACAATTTGATGGTCAGCAGACGATCTTCGCCTTGTATCGACATGTCCGAAAGGGATGATCAGCTTTCGACTATGACTGAATGGTTTCGTTGGCGACAGGACTAGACCGGATTTCAAACCTGTCAGTGTTCCTAACCACTGGTCTTCATCAATACACATATCCGAATATTCACGCGAAGTAAAACAATGACTGCTTGCATTGTATTTGAAAGCAATGGCTAAGCGTGAGAGATGAATATGAATAACAGTTGAAGCATTATCTTTCATCATATACACATAGGGTTTTTCATCGAGACGATTGAAATACCGTGTAAACCAATTCTGGAAGAGCAATGAGGATTGATTGACTAAAAGTTGCGTTGTCATACTGTCGGTAGTCGTCACATAGCCTGTTTCGATATTTAATACATATGGTTTGTAATTGAAAAAATTTGGATCTTTAAAATGAACTGGTCGAAATTCGATTATCTCATCTTTCATATTTTTCCAATGGCTATATTCGGAGACAAATGTGATTGGTAATTCAGTTTCAAAACATTTCGGAGGTATCAATTCAAATACTTCATTAGTCTTGATGTGCCATTCATGAACAATGAGCCGATTCAATTGATCATCAAAATGAAATTCATATCGAACTTGCCCATCACCACCATAAGTATATTTGGTAATATATGTATTGGGTGAGTCAGTTACTTGTACTTGAAAGATATAATGGTCAAAAACACGAATATATAATTCATTGGAGACAATTTTTTCCGGTAAATAACTAACACTTATCCCATTCACTAAAAATATGCCTTGTAAACAGTCAATCGATAAATAAGTCGATTCATATTGACCATCGTACCAACCATCATAGATATCTTTGTTCCGTTTCTTCCATTGACCATCGATCGTACCTTCATTTCTGATCACTGCCCAATAGATGGAGGAAAAATCATTTAAACTTTGATAAGGTGATTTTTGCAGGAATATGCCTACTATGGGCTGTATTTGTACTAAGACACGTTCACTTAGTCGGATTAGATCTCTTAGAAAGATGCTTACAGGTGTTTGCTTCTTGTTTAAAACGAGATTATCATGAACGTTCGTTGCTGCTTTCAGTAACGAGATCATGTGCTGATTCGATGACAAAACACAATGGATGCGGTCCATATGAGTTGAAAATGTGAACAAGCAGGCCACACCTATAGTTATCACATTAAGGCGGAGATTTTCTACTTCATCCAAACCTGATGTCGAAATTAGATCGATCCATTTTTCACCAATGCGACGGCATTTAAGAGCTAAATCGGTGACTTTATCTTCTCGGGTTGAGTTACATACAGTTAACACTCTCATAGTAACCATTGTAATCACCAGTAGTACCAATTCATTCTGCCAATTCGATGCACAATCATCTAAATGGCGATTCAATCTCACGAGCAACTCGTCAACGAATTGATCGTCCAATAGTTGCTGATGTGATTCAGAACACCAAGGAAAGACAAGTTCATCAGGATTTTTGGTCATTGGACCATATTGCCATATGGCATGAACAATCAGTATAGCAACACTTTCCTCATTCAACGATAAAGAATCCATTTCCAACATAGCCAACAGATTCCACCATTGCAATCGATGACCTGAACGAAATGATCCGAATTCAATAAACTGATTGGATTTGAGTTTATATTGAGTATGTGAAAGATCAGCTATGACTCGATTTTGTACGAATTGTGTAGATGTGACAGAGTACTGTAAATGTTTATAATCAGGATGATTCAGCTGAGGTGTTAACCGTTGACATTCGTCGTGGAATGGAAGGGATTGAGTGGGTGATATTTTAACTTCTAGACTATTTTCATATAAAAAGTCTTCGATCTGTGCCAATGCAATCGGTGGATTAGAAATGTGACTTTGCGTGATTGAATTCGTGGAAGAAACTAACTTAACTTTGCAATCACTTGGACCAGTAAATAATGGTTCTAATATGCATAAATGAGGACGAACCCTTAACCATTCGTACATGCGACTCTCTAGTCGACGTTGAGAGCGATTGACAAATTGCCAAAGGACGTCGCGATACCGTCTGACTTCGATTGGCATCCGTAATTCAAACATAACGGCCAAAGCACTGGCTCGTTGAGATGGTATTGGACACTCATAAATGCTGACTTCAATATTGTTTGCTTGTTGTTCAATTCGACATCGACGGCATTGCCTAGAATCAAGTTCACTATAACATATACAAGGACAACCATTAATTGAATTCATAAGTCGATAATATTTGTCTTTGGCATTCCGCACTTCCTGGATTTTCACTGCCTTGTCTTGTTCAGTCTGGGCTTGGATTTTTCGAAGACAATTATTTATCTTGGTCGACTGACCAGCAAAATAAACACCGAAACTATTTTCTGCCTCGATATTAGTCAAAAGATCAGGATATGATTGATGTGTAAACTTGTTGAAATAGTCGTAGAGATCGCGAGCTCGAATCATATCTTCACGATTCGGTAAGATCAAAAATTCGAAAAGGTCCATCATATTTGGAATGTCAATGCAATGAAATTGTAATCGTTCAAGTTTCTTATCTTGACATAAATTTTGATGCATAGCACGAATAATTGTTAATGATGTTAGAAGAAATCGACTGTAACCGATCGGATCTGTTGAACACTTTTCCGGACAGTAATGCATTAGTGCATGATTCTGATAATCTTCAAAGAATCGTGATAACATTTGAAAACGCTCTGTCTCTTTTCGACCTGATGCTGTTCGACTGATCCATTGCTCTGACCATGATGTAACCCAAATTTCCATAAGATTCAGAGCTGTTCCAATCGTATATTTGAATTGATTGGTTAAAACATTGAAAGAAGGGATGATATGTTCTTGCTCGATATCGATGATATCATCATAGTTAGGGAAATTGAATGATGCTTTGTTTGAGTTTTTTGAATTATTACTATTTAAATAATTTTTCAATGCTTCACATGGATGTCGATAGAGTTCCGCATTATTCAGGTTCGAATCGATCAGCAGCTGTTGTTTGTTGT